AATGAAAAACCAAAATACAAGGCATTGGTGTCTTCAACACCTTGTGTTTTGGTTTTTCATTCGTCGTGGCTAAGACAAGCTAATTTCCTCAATAATCGTGAGCACGACGCCCAAGTTTTTCAGTGAGATCCGTTCCATNTTAGTATAAGAACGCGGCTTTCCTAGTTCACTTGATTGTTTCTCGTCGTCTCAACCCGGATATGTGTGAAATACGAGACAAAAAACCGGAGGGCTGTTGTACGAACAAGGAAAACGATTGGTTATGAGTAGCATGGATTGTTTTTAACTCACGATCCCGTTTTCTGTACTCGAAAATCCAATGCTTTTTTTTATTGCATGCATCACATCCCCACCCCTACTGATTAGGTCGTTGGTTGGTTATTTCCCCTGCGCCCTTTGGGAGAAATTTCATCCTTCTGAGATTTATAGATGCAGTAGACTTCCCTTTTTTTACAACATACCTCAATGTTAGAGTAGCAAGCTTGGATTAACCCTCAATGTGCTGAACAACAGACGGAGAAAACCCCATAGTCACGAGGACCTGCTGTTCAGTGGTGAAAACTGGCAACCTAAGCGGCGGGACTTGAATTAGCGAAGTACATAAAGCCCCGACGGGTTAGGCCGGGCATTGAACCGAATGACAGCAAAGCTGCTACCACCAAAGTTCGATAGCGGCGTCGGGACTCGAACCTCGGACTATAGGGTCCCAAGTACGTCCATGACAGCGGCTGCGCCACCAACACCACCACTGATACTGGAGTTTTTAGACATATTGATGCACCTAAGGAACTCATCTCTTTTACACTTGAAGACGTTTCATATCCCTTGCACTGAACTGTATAGAGCCCTGTTCACATCCGACACACCAGCCAGTTTCAAAGTTCTGTATTCTGGTGCTCCCGGCGACCGCAATTCCATTCTGCCACACTGAATGAGTCTTCTTTTCGACCCACTGAAAGTAACCAATGAACTTCGTGTACGTTTACTTGCCTAACTAATTTCACGTTCCAACTTGTTTTTGGTTATTGTTCTAGATAAATTTTGTTCACAATATCGTCATTATTGATGATAGGAAAAGCCAAAAATTCACCTAGAAAGTCGGTGCATCAGGCTTATACTGAATGTGGCTCGTTAGTCTTCGATCTCTTTTTATCACCTTGTTATCCTCGTGTGACGATGACCACATCTTTTGCATGAAATGTATGCAGAGATGTGGTAAAAGTTATTCAAATACATAATACTATCTATGCTCGCTTAGACTTACTTGGTCCACCAAATACTGTTCATTGGACGGCAGATAGCCCGAGGACTTGTTGCTCGATTTGGAATTGCCACGGGATTGGGGAATGGCGTCACGAATTGTTTTGTCCGTTTCGCGCAAAGCCCGTCTCAACTGTAAACCACTCAGATTGTACTGACCGGCTCGATGATGCACCAGGGCCAAGTTATTCCAAACCAGTGTGCTCTCGCATTGGCCAGTCTCAATCGGAGCTCGTGTGGACGGTGGGATATCCGAAAGGCGTCTTAGGGCATCGGCGAAATTGCCCTTTAAAACAATAATGATAGCCAACGAGGATGGGGAAGCACTGATTCGGTCAGACGTTCATTTTAGCATCAACATCGCCACGGAAACCCAAGAACAACGCCCAAAAGTGTATGATAGGATGAAGCTTTATGGTATCATTCGGTTTTTCGCTGCAACAGGTGCACTTTTACGAAGGATTTGTTTCTTCATTGCACACACCCTTCTGAAATGAATAGTAGGCGAGGTAACCCCTGCAGTTTCGAAGACCTGCTATTCACTCACGGTGTTGTTCACTGAGGTGGCGAACCACACACAAGGGCCCGCTAAGTTAGGCGTGGTACTGAGCCGGACTACAGCGAAGCTGCCCACCACAAAGTCTGGGTGGCAGTGATTTTCTTCGGAAGAAAAGCATGCGATTTCACCAACAACAGTAGTCGTACATTGAACGTTCATGTTAATTACTATTCGTAATTAGATGTTTCTTCCCCTGTTTCCATGATACTACTCATGAGTAGCATTCAGTGTTTTCTTTTCCCCAACAGTTAGACTCGTTTTTGTGCATCCCATGACGTTTATAGTCATGAAATTCATGTATTCTGTATTTACCGGACGTTTAATGCTGTTATTCCTATATTTTTATTGATAAGGTTGCATTTTCCCATTGGCATAAAACTTTTCTGAGCGCTTGTTCTGCGAGCAAAGACCTGCCGCCAGCAGGCTCGAACCGCAGACAACCCCCTGGTTGACACGCGCTGTCCCTGCACCATACACGCTTGCCGTGAACTTGTTTACGGCTTTTGTCAGTGCTGCCCTCTGATACGCGTACCTTTGATTAACACCGCCTCTTTGTATCGCATTCCGACTTGTTAGCATTTGATACATTTCATCCCAATCCATTGTTATTTTCTTCTATGTCGTTTTAGTCCGGAACTAAAATGTATTGTAAGCCTTTTCCAAACAGTACCGTAATCTCTCCTAATTTAAAGTTCACTGTTGTGCTACTGTTACGTTTAGCTGTCTGCCGGGTAGATCTTGTTCCTACCATTCTTGTCACGGACTGTTACTGCTGCCCTGTAAATTGGTTGCTCACCCGACTGTAAAAGTTACTTTTTCTGTTTTAGAACCACGACTCATACCATTGTCGATAAATACTGCTACTTTATTGGACTTCGTCCTGCTGCCCGTAGCCGTCCTGCGCTCATATCGTGCATATAGCTATCGAAACTAAGTAACCGAAAAAAAATCCAGTCGGCTAAGGTGTGACAGTTCACGTGCTAGTTGTTCATTGACGGACCGGAGTAGGATCGAGCGGTAAACAAACAGTTACGAATAAGACGGTTGGTCAGGGCTTTATGTTTTTTTTGGTGGACATCAGACGTGTTTTTCTTTTTGTTCTTTCACTGTCCAACTAGGCAAAACCTTGCGACGAAACCCGTGTGGAGTAATTTGGACGGCGGAAAATTGGTAAAGAGCACTCGTGTTAGGATAAATTTTACTACACTCGAGGATGATTAACTAATATGCCCGTTTAAATATATATATATAGATACATATATACATATATATAGAGAGAGAGAGAGATTCGAACATGCATATTACCAGATAAAATTCCCTTGAATTGAGTTGGTGATCATCTACAAAGCCATATTCTGGTTACTCATAGGAGGTTCAGAATTAGAAATTTCTCACTCCCTTAGATGAACAACAGTCAAATAAAGCTCTGATACTAGCTGTGAACACTCGCGGATTGAAAGAAATCCTATGAGGAGTAGGAACATCCCAAAAAAGGTGCTTGTAAATATCCACAAAGCGGGTGTCAGCTGTAGAGAGAAATCCGAACACAAGCCACCCCGGAACAAATAAAGCCAGGGGAAATCTACTACAGATAATTTTTAAACACAAATGGAGTCTTTAGATGCACGAAATACATAGCAGCTGATGCTTAGGATACCGAAAAAACGTAACTACATTGAAATTTACCATTCTTGGCCTGTTGGACAGGAGAAACCGACAAATTAGTCGTCACAGATATTTACTACTTGTGAGTAGTTCCGCTGCAAATGTTGTAAAAGATGCTTCAATGAAGTGCGCTACGCACCAACACACGGAGTCAGGCGGATGGTGGCAGGCAAGAGTAGATAAGGATCAGAGAAAAATGACCGGTTCGTATCATCGCGGTACACGACGGTACGGATCGATAGTGCAATGAATTCAGACACTGGGGTCCCCTAGAGAGACCAACATTTCAATAGACGAAAAATGTTCAATGTCATATTGAAAATAAAGTCTGATAGGTGGTACAAACTGTTTCTCGATAAATTCATCAACTGGTCAATACAATTATATAGGGGTTATTGTTCAATCTGGTTTTAATAACGTCACTTATGAACACGGTGTGCTGATCCTCATCTCGGACCAATATTTAATAAACAGTTGATTTCAATCCCAGCGGATAGAATGTTGTCTTTTTCACTTTCCCCGCTCATTCTAATTGATTGATTCTGGTTTTTAGCATTTTCACAGTCTTGACTGTGTATACTGCTACAACAACAGTTCGCGCAAAATTTGCACGAAATTACGATGAGGATTTATAAAAATGAGATATCATCATATTAGGAAAGATAAGTTATGACCATCTCTGAAGACGACAACTGAACAAACAGATGGGCATTTCTGCTTAGCCCGGGCATGAGCTGGTCGACACAGTTGTAATACACATGCTTTACATGCGATAGGTCCGGAGTTCGAATCCCGCACGGGAGACGGGGGATAGGCACTACTGATGAGCTCTGATAAGAGCGAAGCTCGAGTCTAGTGCTACCGGGTGTGTGGTTGACTGGAAGAGCTGAGGAATGTGCCTGAACGTGAAGTCTGGTCAGTTCCAATGAAGCACCTCATAAAGTTCAGAAAGAAATGATAGAAATCTACCTTAAGATAGGCCAGTTGGGCTTCGATAAATTGCACACATCGCCCCACATCCCAACTGGCATCGGTCAGACCATTCAGTAAGGTGTCCGGATTCGGTGACTGTGACTGTCCGCCATCATCAGCACCACTCGAAGTTGTTTCCGGACCGGTCAACTCAGACCCGTTCAGCGGTTCGGCAATGCCCGAGTCTGCGGGTTCGGAGTTCCCGGTCTCTTGACCAGCACGCTCGTTCCCGGTAACTTCACTCGACACGATAATTGGCCGGTTAGCGTGGTTCCGTTCCGAGTGCACAATTTGCAACTCGTCGTTTGCCTCGGCGACACGACCGGTGAGCAGACAGGCACGTATATAGAATATTTGTAGCGGTAGTCGTATCCCGTGCAACATGTGTGATGTTTGTGTATTCCAATGACGTGGTCCGGAAGTGGCAGTGGTCAGCGCACCGGTAGGCGCGGTGTGACCTGATGCGTTCAGCGTGTTCGCAATTGTCAACGAGGACAGATAGGTCAACCAAGTCCCTGAATGAAGCAGATAGTTTGAGGGAAGAAAAACCACTTGGGACTTGATACAATACATCAAATCGCGTGAAATGTTTTGCACATTTAAAGCAATTATACACGATGGGGGAAAAACCTGTGGTATTTTGCTGACTCGTAACAATGCCGTGAGAGTTTCCTATTGTGTGGACTAAATATATGGTAAGCCCTACTTCAAATCCGGTATATGCTACACAAACCGATTAACATAAATCAATCAACAAAGATAACAGTATGTACCGAAATACAAACAGCTTTCATCTACGTCCCAAATTTATGGCTAACAACCATAGTTACATTTCGTACAAAAAGTCTACCTTCAAAAAGCTCTTTTTTCCGAGATGTGGACGAGAACTTGAGAAAAGTCTTCAAGGACCTGGTGTCTTAAAGCATGTGATGGGAAAGTGCTAGCTAATGCTTTCCTGTAGTTTACGCGAAAGTAAGATAGTTGACCCCAGGAACTTGGAATCTTTTAACAGCTTGCAAATATTACCTTCGAAAAAAAATGGGTTTTCATAATGAACCTGGATGTACAGGGGGATTTTCAAGTTTAGCCAAGAGAATAAAGGCGTTATCTAGCCTCAGTCAAAAGAAACAAACGAGCGAAGATTTTTTTCAGGATTAACGAAATTGGACACGAAAGAACAAACCAAAACTCGAAAACGTTTTATTTTAGAGGAAAATACCGCTTCTCCCTGTAGTACGATATTAACACACCACAGCCTTTTTCTGTTTTTGATTGTAGGCTCATTGTTAGATGAGTTAGGCGCATTGTCCGGTCTCTGAGTCACTTTGGAGCTCGAACCGGGAATTATTTGTGCTCACTTCAACATCACTATGGTTGGCTGACTGCAAGGAAAGAAAAAATAGATAGATCGGATCAGTCAAGAGAGACCTCAGTTCAGGAAATCCGTGGCAGACAGCTCTGCTGTCGCTCGGTTCTATACCACGCCTGACCTGTCGGGGCCATATGTAGTTTGCCACTCCAAGTCTTGGGGATCAGGTTGCCGGTTACCATCGCTGAACAGCAGGTCTTCGTGACTATGGGGTCAGTCTTGTCTGCTGCTCATCACACACTGGTGTGTAATAAAAAAAATAGGCGAAATCGGGTCAGAAAACCTGAAAAGAACAGTGCATGAGATACGCTCTAAAACCGATTTCTTTCATTCCTTTTTCGGAAGTCAATCGTGCACTCATTGCAGACAAGTATTGAAAACCAATATCGTTGAATCAGTTTTGAGTTCAGCCTGAAACATGATGTGTTCGTATCGATTATTTCTCACATCGGATGCAACTCGCTTTTCGTAGCGGCTGATCTCCGTTCTTTCGAGATGGTAAGCCCGAAGACTTTCAGAGCCATTCGTTTTTGTGCATAAATAGCACATCCACTCCACCCCACCCCTATTAGCATCATACTTAGTGGGCTGATGTTCGGTTAATTGAATAAACTCTCACCAACCCTGACAAATCCGTCGACTCCAAGACAACCAAAACTGTCTAAATGTTTACATGAACCAGATGCTCGATGTTGATAAACGCGTTGACGTTCCTTTTAGCTTCAAAACAGGCTTCCGTTATCAAACTCAGTTTAGCGATCTACCCGGAGCTGTTGTTAAAAATAGTCACAACATTGCCGAAAACGACTCCTTGAAGTATTTTGGGCGTCACAGAACCAATTGAGATTCGTTTGAGTTGACAACTGC